AGAGAATTCCCTCATCTGCCCCAGCACAGAGACAGGACACACATAAAGCCACTTTGAGGTACCGTCACACAGTTACCCAGACCTGGGCACTGACAAAGCATCACACATGAACTGGAAACCCACGTGTGTAGTCACAGATACGCTGCACACAAGCACATGTACCCGTTCCCATGCACACATCATGACACGCAGACACTCGTACAGGCACTCAGATGTATAGACACATGCGTGCTTACACACAGGAACATGCCCATACATCGGTAAAACACACTCTTGCCAGGACATACATGCTTAGACTTACATGCACACAGACATGCTTGCGTACATGTTCACAAATATTCTGTCCCTTCCTACCTGCACTCCAGTACTCTCAAACCAATGCCCAGCTGCAGCTCTCACCCACTATGCACGACCCTTTGCAAGGTGGGCATCAAAGGAGGACAGAGGCCATATGCATCTGGGACCCTAGGAGTATGGAGCTGTTTGTCTATATATCCAAATTGTATATGTGAGTGTCACTGTGTGTCTGGTTGTCTGTGTGGCTCTGTCTAAAACAGGGAAGTGTCTGTTTATGACACTGTGGGTATTTTCCTGTGTATGTCGGTGTGTATTTCCAAACGACCAATGTGTAGCTCTGTGTTGTGTGAATGTGAGTGTGGGTGACAGTACAGGATGTGTGTATCTGTGTGACTGCACTTTGTGGACTATCTCTGTGAGCATGTCTGTCTATGTATGTCTACATTTGTGTATATGCACATTTCCCATGTATATATGACTCTGTGGTCCTGAATCCACAGGCTGGCTGGCCTGACTCCCTCCCTGCAGAGGCTGCAGCCTGGGGCGGGGCCAGGAGAGACTGCACTGAATCCGTCAGCCATTGACAGTCGTATTTACAGAGCCCCGAGTAGGATGTAATTGCTTCTATTAATCTTTCTCCGGTTGTTAATTGCTCACTTATCGGGTTGTGTATTATGCCGGCTGTTGCTCTTAATTCGCCTCCATAGCTGCAGGTGTTTGCTGCCTTATTAACTGTTAATCGGCGCGGCTAGAGATGGAGACTTAATTGGCCCCCAGAGCAGGACACAAGCAGGCCAACTGGGCACTGCCAGGCTCTCAGCCTGTCCCTAGAATCCTTACCTGTGGAGCACAGGTGGCTACGAGGGAAGGAAGTGGCTCACTGCCATCCGCCGGCAGACAGTAGTCCTGCATAGTGTCAGAGTGACAACGGCAGGGTATGGCCCCCAGGTAATTCTACCTCCTCCAGGAAGCCAACCAACCAATCGGAATCCAGCTTCTATACTCCCTCTTCGTCACCAATAACCTTCCTCTACCCAGGATAGGAGCCAATCTCATTTATTTTAATTATCTGAACCTAACTGAGAACTAAGAGACCAACACAGAGTGGAACTGATTCTCCTCCTTTAACACCTGCTCTGCCTCCCCTCTGACCCTAGCAGTCAAGGCTGTTAAGGTTACAGAGACACCAGCAAAAATGAGAGAGAGAAGGAGCTTCTGCCAGAGCAGGAAGGTAAAGTTAGACCCAGGCAGGACTTCCCAGCTTTTGAAGAGGCTATCTGGAACAATTAGAGTCCAAGTAAGAACAAGAACTTCCAGGATACCTACTGCTCCATCCCAGCCACGCTCAAGGGGCAGGGTACCTCGCAGCCTCTGCCCCAACAGAAAACTCACTTCCGCCATGGCACTGCTACAGAGCTGCAGCAGTGAGAGGGTTCTCCATACTGAGCCCTCCACCCCAAATCACAGCAGAGGAGTCCCAGTTGTCCACATTGGGGACCCTGAGGACCAGAAAGGGCAAAGGAGTGGCCCCAGGGTCCCCCAGTCCTCTCTGGTAAAGGCTCAGATATATGGCTCTTCAAGCGAAGTTTCTGACCTTAGCCTCCTGCTGGACCCTGCTCCATCCCAGACATCTCAGTCCTGGAGAGTACTTTCTCGATCACCTTAGCTCTGGTTCTTAAGTCTCTCAACCTCCCTGCTGCCGTTTTGAGACAGAAATGCAAGGTTTCTGGAAACAGTTGGCCGCTGAGAGAGACACGGGTGTAAAGGTGTGTGTGGTAGTGGTGGTGATGGTGGGGTGGTGTCCGTGTTTCTCACCAACCTGGCCTCCAGCATCCAAGAAAGACAAGCAGGCAAACTAATAGTCCTCATCCTGTGTCTCGAGCCCAGTCTGCCCTGACGTCTGGAGGTTCTTCCGGGTGTTTAGTTGTCAGGACATGAGCTGCAAAGAAGTCAGTTTGCTTTGGCTGGGGCCTGAGAGGAGCTGGGCTCCATGGAGGGAGGCAGAGAGCTACCACTGAGTGGATACTGGATGCCAAGAGCAGCAGGAAACGCATATAAAAGTGGCATCCCATTGAACCCTCACATAACTTGATGAGTTAGGGATTAGTATCCCTATCCACAGAGAAGGAAACTGAGCCGTAGAGAGGACAACTAAACTTGCCCAAGGCCGCACAGACAAGAAAGGGCAGAACTGGGATTCCAACCAGGCCTGGCATTGCCCGGTGGGACTGGGTCTTTGGTCAAGGGTACGTGGATTCATCCAAACAGCTCTATGAGGTGACTGCGGGGCCTGGGAACCGGTGGTCACTATTACAGTTCACCCGCCCACCCCAAATCTGGGAACATTAATAAGCAAAACACTCACGCATGCGCGGCCCACGTGCCCATCAGGCGGGATAGAGAGAAGCAAACGGAACTGTCCAGGGATAGTTGCCCAAACAAGTTCCGGCTCCGCCTCTATGTTAATGACATGCAGATATATGTAAATTTACACACGCAACCGCTCAAACCTTTGGGAGCAATGGGGTGACACTGGAGCGGTTGCTATGGAAACCCAAAAGCGACCCTCCCTCCCCCTACCGCACAAGCAAACGCGTAGACACGTGCACAAAGACCCAGGGCTCCTCGCTCCAGAGCCCAGAGGATAACGGAGTCTCGGAGGGTGTGACCGGAAGGACCCTCCGAGACGGCGTCCTGCCCAGGGGAAGCTGAAGCCCGCAGAAAGTCGCGGGGAGAGCAGCGTCGACGGCCGCCTTCCATTAAAACCTAGGGAAGCTTAGCTGGCTCTTCGGGTCCCCTGATACGCCTACTCCGGCCCGGCAACGTGAGCCCCGCCCAGCGTTGCTTAGCAACCCGAGCCCAGCAACCTCCGGTCACGCCCCCTAGCAACAGCTCGCCTAATCCGCGCTCCTGGCCTCCTCTGCCAAAAGAAAGGCAAGAGGCTTGTGGACTATCGCCAAAAGGTGGGTGGAGGTCATGCTGTCCAGCCCCCATCCTCGAAGCAGGCTGAGGATTTCGGGGTTCACCTATAGCCCTCTCTGCGGGGCGAGGTGCCAGAGGGCTGCACGATCACTCCCATCTACAGAGGGGAAAACTGACGCTCCGAAAGGAAGTCCCAGCCCAGAGTACGGAGCTTTTTTTCCCCTGAGTGCTTGGGAAGGCATCAAACGGTCTCCCATCTCCCTGGGAGGAAGTCCTGGGCTTGGAGGGAGGGGGCGCATAGCCGTCCCCCAACTGCCCTGTGTTAAGAAAATGACCCAAGTTGCTGCCGACTTGAGTCAAGCCGCAGGTTGCAGGGTAATCTGGGTAATTTGCATATAGCACTGAGGCCCTCACAAGGCCCTCGGAGCTTCCCCCCACCCGCGGTTCACCTGCCCAGTCCCCCCTCCTTGTCCCACCCCCGGCACCCCACCCCACCCACACACACGCGCCCAATCCCTACGGCTAAATTCCCACACTTCGCCCCGCCTCCAGCTTGGCCTCCAGTCCTGCCAGCCCCGACCTCCATCCCAAGGCCTAGGGCCCCCTCTGCTGTCGGCCGCGGGTAGGGCAGCAGCACAGCTCATGGGGCAGAGAAGTGGGACTCTCCCAACTATTGCCCCATCTTTCCCAGCCCAGGGCGAGGCTGGTACATGGGTCGACCTCAGAGAAGGGGTGGGAAGAGATACACCCCTTCAGGCCGGGGCAGGGGTGAACGGTGGGGTCCTGCCACAAGTTCTCTCCTCCAAGGGAGGCCCTGCTTCTGGACCCTGGGTTAGGTAGTGAGGAGACAGTTAGTTCCCATGGCAATGCCTAGACTCAGCTCTCCGGAGGTACACACACACGGAGATGCCTTCCAATTGTAGCTGCTGTTAAGAGCTCACTCTAGGCCTCAGGCAAAGCAGCACCATCCTGCCCTGTAACACCAGCCTCCAACCCCATCCTGAATGTCCACCCCCACCCACCAGGCCAAGGCCCTTGGCTTTCTCCAGTATCAGTCCCCAGGAGCTGGCAAGAGGAACAGAGAGGAGACATCCTATTTGGACCTCCCAACTTCCTCAACAGAGACCCACACAGACATATGGTCACAGACATGCGCACACACAGAGACCCTCAGACACACACAGAGACGCGCAGGGATTACGGCGGTAACCCCCAACTCTCCAAAGGAAAAAGTCTTGGTAACTGAAAAATTTTAAATCCATTGCAACTTGCTCTCCTTTTCCTCTCTAACAATCTCTAAGTGTCTATGCCCCTTCAAAAGCCTCCTTTTTCTCTCTCCCCCCAACCTAGTGCTGCCTTCTCTCCCATCACTTCTTCCACCCAGTTCAAAATACTTGCAAAATGCTTCCAGAGCCCACCATGGCAACAGCTGAACCCTGGCGCACAGTGATGGTTAAGGACCTCAGACAAGCAGCTGACAAGGCTGCCCCCTCCATCCCTAACACTTTAGCTCTGCTATATCTGTGCACAGAAACTCCCAGACACACCCACGTCAACCCACACGTGGCCAGGCCCAGGGTCCCTCCTGTCCAGCCAGCAGATGCAGTCTCAACTTTGCCAAATTCTTTATTAAACCAAAAATTAACACCAAGCAAACTGCAGAACAGGAAATTCAAACAGCTAACCATCCCCTTCCTCTGCCCCTGTTGCTCTTTCTGGAGCACCTCAGGGTTCAGCACTGGTTAGGGAATTAAAGCCCCTCTTTTGGTGGGTAATGAGGGTCAGGTCTCTGCAGGAAGGGGACACTCAGAGCTGGCTCCATCTGTAGATCCCAAAGAGGAGTCAAGGGATGGGCCAGGGGGCTCTGGAGCTGCAGGGGACTGGCAGAGGAGGCCAAGAATCCCAGCGGCTGCAGGAGGCTGGGCAGGAGGTCGGGGAAGTTGCTCCTGGCCTAGGGACCTCAGTGAGGCTTGGAACTGGTGGCTCATGGCCACCAGGGATTTGAGATGCTGAAGCAGGGCTTGGCGGGGACAGGAAGCCCTGTGGAGGTGCTGGTCATGGCCAGCTGGTGAAGCTGAATAGGGATGCCAGGACTGGTGCCAGCCTGGGTTTGGACGCCGTTGCCCTCGCCCAGGACCCTGCCAGGTCTCAGGCTCTCCCCACAGTCTCCCCCTGCCTCTGGGAGGCCTCTGCCAAGCACAGATTCCCCTTGGGGCCAGGCTGCCTTTGCCCTGGCCCTGCTGCAGGGCACCCACCGGGGGAGGGGATCCCTTCAGGGCCACGTCTGGCCCTGTGGCCTCTGGCTGGTAGCATCTCATCTCCGCTCTTCTGTTGAAGGAGAGCATTTTGCGAACCTTCCCCCACAAGGGGCTGAACTCTGCTGTGGCCAGAAGCCCTGCCTTGGGGAGCAGCACAGCCAGCAACAGGCTTGCGTGAGTGGCTTCCAGGCCTGGAGAAAGAGGAGGAAAGAGACCAAAGGCTTGGACGGAGAGAACTCATAGCCCCCAGAAGCTGCATTCTGGCTGTGGCAAGAGGTCTGGAGGTTAGACCCCAAGAAGAGCTTTCCAGTAGTGAGATGGGGCCCATGAGATGCTAGGAAAGTTAAGTAGGAGGGTGTAAGATTTGCTCTCACAGTGTGTGAAAGGGTTCACTTGGCTGAGACTGGGGCATGGATGGTTTAATCTCAAGGCTGTATGATTCATTCTACCACACCGTCCCCAGGAGAGGCAGCCCAGAAAGATCACACACTACTCGGCAACAGGTACAGTCCCCCCTTGATACCCCCTCCAGCCCCTCCCATGCTTTCCTGGATCCACACCCTGGAGGCTATCCAGGCACAAGAGCCAAGCTTGGCCCAGGATAGCTGTGGTGAAAACATCTCTCCTTCCTCTTTTATTTAGGTCCTAATTCCAGCCAGTTGGTGGTTCCTGCCTCTTCTGCTACGCTGGGGTCAAAGGTGACTGGTGAGTTTCTCGTCAAGGTGCCTGATTGGAGAGACTATATGTGTGGTGGTTAGCAGGCCAGTTTCTGCTACCGACTGGCTCTGTGACTCTGGACAAGTCATTTGCTTTCTCCCTACCTCAGTTTCCTCATCTATGAAGTGAAAAAATTAACAGCACCATCCTGAAGGGGTTATTTTGAGGACTAACTGAATTAATATAAGTGAAGCTTTCAGAATGGTGTCTGGCACATAGTAAACAATATACAAGTCTGAGCTCTTCTTGTTTTTGTTCTCACGTTTGCCCATCTCAGAAGTTTCCTTCTGAGATGTGCCTGCCTCCATGGAGACAGGGGTGACTGTGTCTACAACGCCTGTCTGGTCACCAAGTGAGGGGAGACAGGGCCTGGGGTGGGCATCGGGCACTCACCTGGGCCTCCAAGAGGGCGCAGCCTGGAGGGCAGGGGCTGGAAGGCAGGCAGGGGCAGCAGGACCACCCCCACCTGTTCCACAGCTGCCAGGCCATGGCACTGCTTGTCGTTGAGGTAGGAATAAAGCAGGTGGCAATTTTCGGTGTCCCGAGAGCCCTGTGGGCACAGTCTGACCACGCAGACGTCCTGAGGTTGCAGGAAGAAGAGCAGGTTTAGGAACAGTCATTCTTTGCTCCTGTGAACACCCCTGGTCTCATCTGAACCTCTGAGAACCCTGTGAGGAAGAGTGGCCCCATTTTCCAGAGGTGGAAACAGAGGGACTTGCCCAGGGTCACACAGTGAGTCTGCAGTCACAGTGGGAACTGGACCCGGATATCTTAAACCAGGCCCCTGCTCCAGAGCTGGAGTGAAAGAGAGCTCAGGGCTGGGGATATGGTGCTAGGAGGAGAGGTGGTACCCAAGGGTGGGTGGTTACCTTGGCCTCGGCTGGGCAGATGCTGGCCAGAAAGTCCCAGACAGCACTGGGGGGGATGCAGCCTGCAGAGCGGATCACCTGGGGCAGGGCCTGGGGACAGGTAGGAGGCCAGTCAGCCTCCCAGCTTCCCGCCCACTTGAGGCAGACTCAATACTGGCTACCCGGAAGCCACAGCCTGTGGCCAAGAGGATTGACAGGCAGTATATCAGGAGCCCCAGTGGCTGCTGGAAAGCCCTAACTACCCCTGGAGGCCTACAGCGTGTCCTGGCCAATCTCCTCCACTTCTCAGGAGCCCCTCACTCCCTCCTCTAACCCCCTACCCTCATCCAACACTTGGCTGATCATTCACTCACTCAACAATAACTCCTAAAACCCTACTCTGGGCCAGGATGCACCAGACCCTTTTCCTGGGCCCTTCCTGCTTTATGCCTTGGGTTATAGGGAGTCCTTTGCCCATGTGTCTCTGCACAAGTGGGGCTGCATCTAGCCTTGCACAGGGCCAAGCACAGAGAGGGAGTCAATGACTTGTTTCAGAAGGAGTGAGTGGGTGAATGAATGAACAGGGGTGTGTGTAGCTGACTGGGCTGGTCAGTGTGCAAGGGAGTCTTCGGCGAGCTGGGCAGGAGTACCCGGATGAGCCAAAAGCTGTGCCCCGAGACCAGCTGGGCCTTGACCCGGAACTGCTTAATGGAGAACACGTCCAGAGACCCCTCCCAGGGTGGCTGGCTGGGCAGGGCTTTTGTGGACCCAGCAGGCATCTGGAGCCTAGAGGGAGGAACAGAGAGAACAGGGCCAGGTGAACAGGTCACCAGGGCTTCCCCAGCAGCTCCTTAGTTTTCAGAGAAGGTCCTGTGTCTCCACTGTGGGTGCTGGAACACTGGTCCAAACATGGCCTTATGTGGTAGAGACCAGTAGGCAGGGATGATTAGTTCCATTGCACAGATGGGGAAACCGAGGCCCACACAAGAGGCAGGATTTGCCTAAGGCCATACGGAAAAACCCAGCCTGTGTCTGCTGCCCCAGCAGGTGGCCTCCCCCACCAACCCTGCCAGTTGCCCACCTTCTTGCCCACTGCCCCATACTGTCCTTGGGCTCCGTGGGAGGCTTCTCCTTGGTTTGGGGCATCTCTGGAGAGGACATAGGGACCAGGCTTGGGGCTCTCTGGAAAGCATCATCCCCCATCCTCCTGGTGGCTATGAAGGAGGCTGGCCGCTCATACAAGGGCTTCCAGTCTGCAAAGAGCAGAGGCAGGAGCTGAAACGGGGGCCGGCAGCTAGGCTAAAGCCAGCCCAGGGCATTAGAAACGGAGTTTGAACCAGGTCCTTTTTAAGGTGACCTGGAACACAGGTACCCCTGCCCCACCACCTTCTCCCCAAGCCATGAATCCCTGTTGCCGCTGAACCCCACACTCAGTCCCAGCCTACCCACCACCCCTGTGCCCCTCCTGTGTCTCCCTCCCACCCATGCAGATGCGGCAGCTGGGGTCTAGGAAGTGGTGCTTGTGCTGCTCTGTGGTGTCCTCGTGCTGCTCCGTGGTGCCCCTCGACGTGGCAGGCAGGGCCAGTGGGCCGCAGTCTATGGACACCATGGGTTCCTGGGAGGCAAAGGAAGAGAGAGGGGTGGGCTGGGAAGGCGGCTGGGGAGGTCAGCAGCCCTCCATGAGTAGGGGGCCCTCAGGGCTGTGGTTTTATTTTTCTAAATAATATATTCTTTAATTACAAAGGTATCGTGAACTTGTTACAGAAAATTTAGAAAATTTGAAAATTAAAAAAAAAATCCCCCCTTGTCCCACCACTTAGAAACAACCGTTGATACTCTGGGTATTCCTTTATAATAGTTTATCTATACACAGAGTTTCGGGGCTCCTTTTGTGGTTCATGTGTCCATGAAGCACAGCAAAGTTATCTGCCGTGTTATACCGTCCCTGTAGACATTGCACTGATGGGCTGGGCTGGAGTGTATGCATCACCTCTGCTGCTAGACAATCAGGTCGTTCCCAGGCTTCCACTGTAACAAATAACACTGAGGACATCCTTATGCTGGAAGTATTTCCCTAAACTTTCAATTATCTCCTTAGGATGAGTTCTCAGAAGCAGATGACAGAATTGGGGAGAATGAACGTTTTTAAGAACCTTGATGCCCGATGCCAAATCACCCTTTTTTCCTCATAATAGAAACAGCTTTAAACACACAACAAACATTGATTGCTTCAGGAAGATTTGAAAAGATCTTGAAACTCACTCTTGCCTTAAAACCACCTCCAGAACAGTGACAAGGCACAGGCTTTGGAGTCAGAGAGCCTGGGTTCCAGTCTCCCCCACTGCCAACTAAGTGACCTTGGGCAAACGGTTTCAGGTGCCTCACCCAGGAAACTGGCATCACCCATCTCGTAGGTTATATCCTGAGGTTTGAATGAGGCGTTGTTTGTAAAAGTGGCACATAGTAGGTGTTCAATCGGAGGAAATGTTGCTATTCTGTGTTATCTTCCCCTCCCCTACTCTGCCGCCGGCTCTCTCTTCCCTCTCTCTCTGGCTCCTCCCCCTATATTTACATTCAATTTACTCAGGGAATACAGGTTGGTTTGGGTTGGGGAGCAGCCACGCCCTCTTAGGGCTCCTCTCCGCACAGCCAGGAGGTCTGCCTGTTGGCCTGGATACTGGTGAGGGAGAGCAGGGATTTTTGTCGGTCAGGGTCACTGCCATTTCCCCAGCGAACGAACGTGGCTCAAGGGACCCTGCGCCCCCCCATCCCGGACACACAGCTGATTAGACCGGGGTGAACATCTGACCCACGAGACACCCAACCAAAGCCGGAGCAGCCTTCTCCTGAGAGCGACTGAAGTGAGCCAAGGGGGTGCTCTGATTGGCTGCAGGAGGCTGAGGGGATGGGTTCACTGATTCGAGGGCTGCTGAGCCATCCTGTTGAGCCATGTGCAAGGAGGAGGGGCCAAGGGAGAGGAAGAAGCAGGATGGACAGGAGGATGGGGCAGGTCCCCCACAAAGAAAAGGGCACTCTGCACAGGCTGCTCCGGACTCCAGGTGGTGCCCTGCCGGCGCATCCCTAAGTCCTTCTGCTGAATAGAGCAAGTCTCTGCTCCTTACATCCAAAAAGTCCCTGCCTCAAACAGTGTGTCCCTCCTGCTTCCCAACCTGGGATCTGGTCGGAATGCCTGAGGTTGGGGGGAACTGCAGAGACAGGACTCACTAGTACTCACACGAGGTGCCTTGGGGTTAGGCCAAAAGGAGGGGAAGCAGCGCTGAGAAGCTGCAGACAGGCCCGGTGCCGGCGTTTGTCTCACCCCGTTCCACCCAGACCCCGTGCGGCCACCATCATTCCCCTATCTACGATGAAGACCGTGGGCCTCAGCGTAGTCAGATGACTTGCCCAAGGCCACACAGCTGGTGAGGTGAGGGGTGGGATCCGAGGGCACAGGCCCTGCCTGGCACCACGTCAGGCTCCCACTTACCACCAGATCCTCCAGGGTCAGCGTCTGGTCCATGTCCCGCAGGATCTCGACTTCCCCCTTGTGGGTCAGTTTGGAGGCCGGGAGGCTGCACGGCTCCTTCTGTAGCTGCTCGATGATCTCCAGGCTCTGAGGGGCAGGGCAGCCCCAGCTCAGCCAGGGTTGGAGGACTTTGGCCACCAAGAGTCCAAGTGCTCCCTTGAGGCCCCCCCGCTGCGGCTCCCCTTCCGTGCCAGCCCTTTCCCTTCCTCCACGTCTCTGCTTCTGCCAGTCCCTCACCTGGAGGCCCCCCACCATCCGCCTTACTTCTCCATTTTCCACTCATTCACCTTCCAACTCAAACCCGGCCTCCCCCAGGAAGCCTTCTTAAACTTCGCCTTCTCGCACGAGTCAAATCTGTCCCTGACTGTATCCCACCCACCCTCCGCCCTGGGAAGAGTGTGGGGTAGTCGAAAGGGCACGGGCGCTAGAGCACCAGCTGTCATTAATAAAGGCCCACAAGATGGTGTGGCCCTGGGCAAGCCCTTCATCGCTCTAAGCCTTAGTTGATCTGTTGTCTAGAAATGAAATTAAGAGCATCATATTAAACAGCTTATGTTGAGTGCGTAGCCTGGAGCCTGGCTCACAGTAAATGGTACTTGTGATTCTTACTGCTGATCAGTGTCATCCTATCTGAAACGATTCCTGAAAGCCTGTCTCTGCCTTTCTAACAACCCCGGGAGGACAGAAGCCCTGTCCTCCCAGCAGGGTTGGCTTTGTGGGCATGGACTCCATGCAGTAGCTCAGGGCCCTGCGCCTAGAAGGGTCCCATGCTAAATACTGCCATCATCTTGAAATTCTTTTTTTTTTTTTTCTTGGCCGCGCTGCCCGCATGCGAGATTTTAGTTCCCCAACCAGGAATCGAACAAGTGCCCCCTGCAGTGGAAGCACAGAGTCTTAACCACTGGGAAGTCCCTGAAATTCTTAATCATTGAACAAAACACCCGCATTTTCATTCTGCACTGGCTCCACAATTTACATAGCTGGTCCTGGTCGCCCACAGTGCCCGGACAGAAGCTCAGAGTGGACAGATGCTCCTAATGGATTCCAGTTATTAATTCTAACCAGCCCAGTGTCTGTCAGAATAAGGGCCTTATTGCCCTAGCCCACACCATAGGCCCTGCTCCCTCGATCAGTCCCTTTCTCACTGGGGCACCAACAAACATTATGCAAGCATCTCCTGAAGCTGGCTCAGTGCCCACACCTTCCCTGCCCCTGTGCAGTTCCCCCTGGGAGAGAGAGAGACCCATGGACGCAGGGTGTATGGGGGTGTATCTGTGAACTGCTGGAGGCTGTGGGGTTCCTCACTCAGCCTGGGGCACTAGGAAGACTTCCAGCCTTTTCTGGAACTTCTGGGACTGGACTGGAGCAGGGTCATCACACTGGGTCTGTGCCCCATGGATGGCGGATGACAATCCTGGATTCCAGACTCTGGGCCAACATCCCCAGTCCCCCCACCCCCCAGCCCAGCTCCATAGAAAAGCAAGTGGAAGACAACACCCCCGGGGGTGTCACCTCTCTACTGAGCTCTCCATCTCCAATCCCCTTCATTTCTGCCTCTTTTCCCTTCTTTTTTGGTGGGGAGAGTCTCTCTGACTCTCTCCCTGTCTGCCCGATCTTTCTGTTCCCTCGTTTCTGTTTCTGTCTGTCCTGTGCTCCCCTGTCTCATCACCTTTCTCCTCACTCTTTGTCTCTGTCTCTCCCGCTCCATCCTCGGGCCTCCCCCTCCCCAAACCCCTTCTCCATGTCCTGACTTGACCCAACAGCTCACCCTCTTTTCCTCCTGGTCCCGCCAGCGGGCCAGCTCTTGGGGGGCCAGCTGGACCGAGCTCATCCGCACCAGGCCGTGGGGGCTGACGTCTCCGTGAACCACTTTGAGAAACAGGTCCTGCAGGGGCAGGGGCTGCACCACACCGCTTGGAGAGCCCCACCCAACATCCTGCCAGGGCTTCCCACCTCTGAGGGGGACGCAGCCCAGCCCGGAGCCCCACTCACCGGGTTCCTGGGGTCCCGCAGGTTGAACAGCAGGCTGCGGTACTTGTTCTTGTAGCGGCCGTCGGTGGCTTGTGTCAGGTCGAAGAGGGCTGCCTCGATGCCGGCAGCAATGCCCTCCACGGCCTCCTCACTCAGCGCCAGGTCTGGGCGCTCCTGAAGGCTGTGGGGCACAAGGGCAGGGCCAGGGCACCGAGCCCGAGAGGGAGACATGGGTGGAGAGCAGGGTCTGGGCCAACTCTGGTTTCTATTCTGAACATTTTCCTACAGGAACCCATTTATTCTCCCCCCAACTCTGTGAAGAAGAGGTATTATCATTCTCCATTTACAGATGGGGCGACTGAGGCTCACAGAGGATAAGGGGCTTGCCTGAGGCCACACGATGAGTAGAAAAGTAAGATCGGATTGCTCAGCCCCTGCTCTATCCCTGGCCAGTAAACTGGGGTATGGAGGGAGTGGAGGAAGCCTGGTGGGGGGAGGGTAAGGCATTGGTCAGGGGAGGGGATGGAGCCCTGGCCCTGGATGTAACCCTGAATCTGCTACTGACTTGCTGTGTGACCTTTGCAAAACGCTGTCCTCTCTGGGCCTTGGTCTCACCATTAGTAAAATGACAGCTCTGTGCTCAGATCTCTGAGATAGTCCCAACACAGAGTCTCACTGTGTCTGAAAGCATTTGCTGTGGGCGACATCCACGAGGACCTGAGCAGACACTGAGAGCTGCAGCGGCTTAATGAGAAAGCACAACCCTGAAGCCAGAGAGACCCAGGTTCAAACGTGTGGGCAAATGACCTCACAGGATAAAATGGGGTTATTCGTACACACAGAAGCCCTTAGAACACGGCACAGCCCTGGGAGGTGGTGTGTGTGAAGGCAGCCCTTCAGGATGTCCTGGATGTCAGGGAACGCGGAACAAGGCCTTACCGACTCCACAGCGCCTCCCGCATGGCACGGACCACAGTGCCCCGTACCCCAATATCCAGGGGTAGCTTCTCCTGTTGGGGCTGAAGCTGAGCTGTGGGGAAACAGAGTCTCTGGCGCCCAGTGGATGCTCAGGGGCAAGGGGAGGGGGTGACTCAAGGCTGAGGGGCTTAGGCAGGCAAGGCAAGGGTCCCACCCTCAGAGACCCAGGGCGTCTAGGATGTCTGTCTGGGAGCCGAGTCCAGGCAGCCAGCGGTCCCCACCCCTTTGGGGAAGGACTACAGGCTGATTGCGGGTGGGAGAGGAGAGGAGTCTTAGCAGGGGCTGGGGCCCAGAGCTGGGTGGGAGCCCCCTGCATGCTCAGCAGTCCCTAGAAGACAGACGGCTGCTGAGGGGCACCCTCCACGGCCCCTCACCTGAGTCCTCTCCCTGCGCCTGCTCACCAGGCTCCTCCTCTTCAGCCTCCACTGGGCCACACTGTAGGGGAGGGGTGAGGACCCGAGGCCTTGTCCCCAGGTGCAGCCTCCCAGCCCCAGGGGGACCCTGCTTCCCCAGTCACCTCCCCAGTCCCACATTCCCCCTACCCGTGCTCCAGGGAGGGATGCCGCGTGGCCAGGGCAGAAGCACTCACCCCCGGACACTCAGCACCAGCCTCCTGAACGGGAACCCCCTCCTGCAACAGAATGAGGATGTGGAGAAGAAGGTGGAGCCCCTGGGCAGAAAGGAATGACTCCTCGGATGGTGGAAGGGGTCAGAGAGGCCACCAGAGCCCCATGCTGTCCCCCCTGAGGGAGGTGGCTAGAGGATCTTGGGATGGCAGGACATGAGGACAAAGGTCAACAACTGCTCTCTCCCCAAATGCATGGAGGCCCAGCCCCTCCCTCCCTCCTCTGCTCCGGTCAAGCTCCTGAACTCTGCAGTGCAGGAGAAGGAATGCACAGCCCACCGCCTGGGGGCGGCCAGCCAGCAGAGGTCTAACTCTGCCTCTGGCTATTACGTTCTGTGTGACCTTGTGCAAGTCACAGCGTCTCTCTGGGCTGCAGCACCATCTCTGTGAATCAGGTGTGCACATGCCTCTCCCAACAGGATGAAGGGACCTCCCAGTGTAAAGAACATCTTCTGTACCTGGCACCCCGCGGGGCCCCGGGCCATGGGCCTTTCCTTCAATCTGGGCCTCTGGACAGGTGAGGCTGAGTTGACCTCCATCATGTCCTCCAGAACCTCCAGCTTTGGAGGCAGGAGCCCCCCTGCCTGGCCGTAGCCGATGGCCCCCAGGAGGTGGATCACTGCCCCAGAACCAACCTGCCAGGGGAGAAGAGCCCTTCAGAGCACTAACCTCACCTGCAACTGTTTACTGTCCTCGCTCTTCCCCGCTGAACTGTGCTCTTCCCCGCTCTTCCCCGCTGTACATGCTCCATGAGGACAGGGAGCATGTACGTCTTAGCCCCCACTGTATTCCCAATGCCCAGAAAAGGCTGGCACAGAGGAGGGCTCTATAAATGTTTGCTGACTGCCTGGCCTCCATCCCAGGAAAGAAGCCTGTCTTCATTCCCATCCTCTCGGCTTCCCCTCTCACTCCCAGCCACGTTCAGAGTTACCTGGACCCTGTACTGAGACCCTTCTCACCCTTCTGACCAGAGATACATCTTACCAGGGAGCCATATCCTGTTCTGAGCCCACCTTCTCTTCCTCAAAGCTCTGTCATGCCCCTTTTCCAGGGTCACTGACTTGCCTTTTGCCCTGAAACAGCCACGTGGCGAACACGTCCAACACCCCCTCTGAAAGCCTGCTGATCACCCCTCTATTGCCCCTGAGAGGAAGCCCTTCATGACCATTTCAAGATGCAGAGTGGTTCTGGGTCTTCTAATGAGCTATAGAATCTCTCCTGCTCCCCTTTTTGCATTGGCTGCCAGGAAGCTTAGTATTAACTTTAAGCCTAGACGTTGTACCTTTCCAGGATTGGGGGGTGGGGTATTGTAACAAGATTTCCCCTTCTCCTCCCCCTTTTCTTGCTTTCTTTAGACTTTAACCCATTTGAGTGTGTTTTGATTCTTTTAATTCATTACAAACCACAGGGAATTGTTTTGAAAGTAGATGGGTCTAAAAAGTAATCCTTGAATGAATGATCATGAATGGTCAGGTTCCAAGGTTTGGGGGAAAATAGAGGTCTGAGATTCACGTCATAGGAAGTGGGGAGTACTAGGAAGCTCCAGAGGAGGGCAGGCTGGGGCAGGGGGCTGGGATCGTCTCTGGGGAGGACCCCTCCCACCCCACCACACCTCAGGAGAGAGAGAAAAAACAGCAGTAATAAAAAGGAAAAAACCTACGTAATACACATGCTTCACCCCATGGGCCATTTTCATTGCCTCCTTGGAGAGAAAGAAGAAACAGACATTAGAATTCAGAGGACCCAGTGACCCCACTGCAGGGAATTCACAAGAAAATACACACAAAGGTGAAAGGTGTACATTCAGTGTTCACTGGGTTGGCAGTTATAACAACAACAAAAAAATTGGGTACAATCCAGTGTCCATCAAAAGGGTAATGGTTAATAAATGGTTACATATCATACTACGGATTCTAAGTGGCCATTAAAAAGAGTGAGTAGTAATAAAAAACTACCATTCATCAAGGGCTTATAAAGCAGCTGACCCTGGAAGAAGCATGTCATACATGATCTTGTTAAGGTCTCAGAACAACACTATGAACTATGTACTATTTCCATCCCCATTTTACAGATGAGGAAACTGAGGCTCAGAGAGGCTCTGAAAAGTCCCATAGCTACTAAGTGACAGAGCTAGGATTAGAACCTAGTTCTGTCTGACTCCGAAGCCCAGGCATTTAACTGCTGGGCTATGTGGAGAGCACTGAGAGATATGGTAAGATTCATGGAAAGATGTCAAGCTGTATTGTTTGGAGAAAAAGAAAGAAATAGGTTATGAAGCAGTATGTGTTGCATAAACCCATTTATGTAAATATATATTTATAGATGCATAATAGAAGTTACCTCTGGGGAATGAAATTCCAGGGGGATTTTCACTTTCTACTTGTAGACACTTGGGTATTTATGTTACTCAGAATGAGCATGTGTCTCTTTTATAAGCACAAACATACTTTTTAAATTAAAAGACAAGTTCAGAACAATGTGTGTAGTGTGCTACCATTTGCTTTAAAAAGAGAAAGATTTTTTCATTGTATTTGCTTGAATCTGCATGAAATATCTCTGGAAGTATCCACAAGAACTTGATATCAGAGGCTTCCAATAGGAAAGGGACTGGGAGTTGGGAAGGAGACTTTTCACTTTTTTTTTTTTTTTTTTAACCATGGGAATGAATCAGCCTTTCAAAAAAGTAAATTGAGATGGGGGGAGGGGGTGGCAGAGGGAAAACAGGGGACATCTGGGAAGGAAAACAGGAAAGAGATTAAGAATAGTCCTTCACAATTTAAAACCTTTTGACTGGCCCCTGTTCTCAGGGGTCCACATACCAGTGGACCAAACAATAGGCAGCAGAATCAGACCAGCAAAGTCTTTAGATACTGGACTTATTAGACAAGAATACAACATATGTATGTATGATATGTTTAAAGATATGATATGTTTAAAGATATGTATGATATGTTTAAAGAAATAAAAGGCAATGTCGAACATATGAGTGAAGGGCAAAAATATGTATTAAAATATTATATATATATATATAAAATCTGAAGGGCAGATTTGGTTGGGCACAAAACACGACTTCTGGAAATAAAAATATGATAATAATAACTATTAAAATTTAAAAGTCAATATATAGGTTTAATAGCATATTAGACACAGCTGAAATAAGCTAGTGAACTAGAAAATAGACTTAAAGAAATTATACAAAATATTTACAACACAGAGACCGTGAAACACAATCAAAGAGACACAAAGGCTAGAGCGAAAGGACTAATATCACTCTGGAAATAAAGTTCCAGAAAGAGAGAGGAGAGAATTGAGCAGAGGGAGTATTTGAAGATAGACAGCTAAGAATTTTCTAGACTTGATACAGGACGACAATTTACAGATTCAAAAAGCTCAGTGAATTTCAAAAAGTTTAAGTAAAAGTAAATCCACACCTAGACACATCATAGTGAAACTGCTCCACACCAATGATAAGGAGATCCTGGGCTTCCCTGGTGGAGCAGTGGTTAAGAATCCGCCTGCCAATGCAGGGGATACTGGTTCGAGCCCTGGTCCGGGAAGATCCCACATGCCGCGGAGCAACTAAGCCCGTGTCCACAACTACTGAGCCTGCCCTCTACAGCCTGCGAGCCACAACTACTGAAGCCCGCGAGCCACAACTACTGAAGCCCGCACACCTAGAGCCCATGCTCCACAACAAGAGAAGCCACTGCAATGAGAAGCCCGCGCACTGCAACGAAGAGTAGCCCCTGCTCACCGCAACTAGAGAAAGCCCGCGTGCAGCAACGAAGACCCAACACAGCCAAAAATAATAAATAAAATAAATTTATTTTTTAAAAAGAGGAGATCCTAAAAGCATTGAGAGGGGGAAAAAAAATCTAACACTTTAATAGCACTGAAAATGTGCTACCACTGTTCTGAATGCTTTCCTTGTTAGTTCACTTAATCCTCATCACAACCCTGCGAGTTAGGTACTGGTACCATTATTGCCCCCATTTTACAGAAGAGGAAATTGAGGCACAGAGAAGTTAATCAGCTTGCCCAGTGTCATACAGCTAGTAAACCAAAGATCTAAGATTTAAATCCTGACAGTCTGACTCCAGAGGCCACACCTTTAACTGCTAACGCTATAATGCCTGCCTCTCACAAAAAGACATTCTACCTACAAAGGAATGGTAGTTAGACTAACAGCTAACTTGTCAATAGTAATATGGAAGCAAAACATAGTAGAATAATATTTTCAATATGCTTAAGGAAAATATCAATTGTGCACCCACCCAAAATATTTTTTGAGAATGAAGATAAAATAAAGATATAACTGATTTACAAAACAGAAATAGACTCACAGACATAGAAAATAAAGTTACGGTTACCAAAGGGGATAGCGGGGGCAGGGAAGGATAAATTAGGAGTTGGGGATTTACATATACCCACTACTACATATAAAATAGATAAACAATAAGGACCTACTGGGTAACTCAGGGAACTATATTCAGTATCTTGTAATAACCTATAATGGAAAAGAAACTGAAAAAGAACAGATTCAGTGAACTGAGTCACTTTGCTGTACATCTGAAATATTGTAAATTATACTTCAATTTTTAAAATGGTTTAAAAGAAAAAATAAAGATATCATAGAGAAAACCAAGAGAGTTATTGTTTTTCTTGATAATTTTATTTTTCTCAATAAACAAAATGTTAAAGGATGAACTTGAGGCAGAAGGAAGGAAAAATGATCCCAGATATAAAAGCTGAGATGTAGAGAGGAATTCTGAGCAAAGAAAATGATAACTATGTTGTTAAATCTAAACGAACACTGATTATATGAAACTATAATATTTGTGTAATTTGTGGGATTAAAAAAATAACTTAGGACCAACTTACTAGATAACAACAGCACATAAATTGGGAAGGTGCATGCTTGGAACTAAAGCATTCCCAGATCATCATATTACTTCAGAGGAAGATAAAGACAGTAACTTCCTTTATACTTTGATAGGTCAGGTATTTGTGTTAACATTTCTACAACAGCCACCAAAAGAATACAAACAGGGCATAGAGGGATAAAAAGGAATAAGAAAAAGTAATCAATGTAAAAGGAGGTAATAAAAGGGAGAAAGTATATAAGAAAATGCAGGATATATGCAAAGCACAAAATAAGACAGTAGGAATAGAGTCAAATAAATCATAACTACAACAAATGTAAATGGACTAATATTTCAGATTAATGCAAAAATTATCAGAACTTTAAAGAAAGGAAACCCAATTATAAGACACTTATAAAACCTATTTATGAAACACAACAATGCAAAAAGGTTAAGAGAAAAAAATGGAGTAATATGTGAGTCGGCAAATACTAACCAAAATAAAGTTTTGTAGCTACACTAGTCTCAGACAAAACGAATTTTAAGGCAAAAAATAATTAGAGGCAAAGACCTCATTACATAATGATTAGCAATTTCACCAGAAAGCTATAACACCTCTAAATGTATAAGCGTCTAATAACATAATCTCAAAAAACATAAAAATTGACAAAGCTATGAGGAAAAAGACAAAACCACCACTATAACATGAAATTTTAATGTATTTCTCTAAATATTGCTAAATCTAGCTGACAAAATAATCAGTAAGGATAAAAAAGATTGAATGAAAACAATGAAGAAGCTTAATCTGTGTACATATATAGAACACTGTTCTTAATATACACATTCTTTTCAAGTATACATGTAACATACATGAAAATTAAGCACAACCTGAGCCATAAAGCAAATCTCAACAAATTTCAAAAGACTAGTATTTTTTAGACCAACACTGCCCAATTAATTACAAATGTGAGCCATAGGTGTATTTTTAAGTTTTCTAGCCACCTTAAAAAAGGTAAAAAGAAACAAGTGAACTTCATTTTATATTTTACTTAACTCAAAATATCCAAAATATTATCATTTTAACTTGTAATCAATAAAAAACATTATTAATGAAATTTTAATTTCTTTTTTTCAGTGACTAAGTCACTGAAATCCTGTATGTATTTTACACTTACAGTACATCTCAATTTGGACTGGCCAGCTTTCTTTTTTTCTGCCGCGCCACGCAGCATGCGGGATCTTAGTTCCCAGGGATTGAACCCACGCCCCCTGCATTGGAAGCACGGCGTCTTAACCACTGGACCACCAGGGAAGTCCCCTGGCCAACTTTCAAGTACTCAGTAGACACAAGTGGATAGTGGCTACCACATCAGATGACTCAGATAAAGATCACTTTCTCAGACCACAATATGATTAAGTTAAAAAGCAATAACAAAAAGAAAAACATAGAGAAAGAAAGTAAAGAAAGAAACTCGTATGAATGGAAATTAAGAAATACACTTCTAAATAACACATAGGCCAGGGACTTCCCTGGTGATCCAGTGGTAAAGAATCCACCTTCCAATGCAGGGAACGTGGGTTTGATCCTAGGTTGGGGAACTAAGATCCCACAGCCGAGGGGCAACTAAGCCCACGTGCCACAACTACTGAGCTTGCGCACCTCAACTAGGGAGAAGCCCATGTGCCACAAGGAAAGATCCCGCATGCCTCAACGAAGATCCCGTCTGCCGAAACTAAGACCCGATGCAGCCAAAAAATAAATAAATATAAAATAAATAAATAACACATAGGCCAAAGGAAAAATTTAAATAAAAGTTATGAAATACTGAGAATTGAATG